CCTTAACCTACGGCATGGAGACAGTAATCCCACTGGAAATTGGCCTCCCCACCATCAGAAGCGAAAATTTCGATCCAAACTTAAATGTGGAAGCCATAGCATTGGAGCTCGACCTTGCAGAAGAAAGAAGAGAAAAAGTATTGGTTCACATCGCCTCATACCAACAGGAGTTATCCAGGAAATACAATAAGACCGTACATCCAAGGCAATTCAAGGTTGGAGATTGGATACTACGCAAAGTAATGGGAAACACCCTAGTACCTGGAGACGGCAAACTAGGGCCCAATTGGGAAGGACCTTACAAAGTGGTTGGGTTAGCAGGAAAATGGGCATACCACTTGAAAGACGAGGACAGCAAAGCCATTCCCAGGCCATGGAACACTGTCAATCTCAAACTATTTTATTTTTAGCTTTCTTTTTAGACATACTTGTCATTTTTCTTTTCCTCAATAAAACAAGTAGTTTTCTTTTCAGCATAATTGTTTTATTTTGTAAAAGTTGTTTTAGTGAGCTAGGGGCAACAAAAGCAGAGTTGGCTGGAATAACCAACTTTGCACTCTCTTCAGCTAGGATTAGGATCTGGGCTTAAGAGGTTGGCTGAAAAACCCAACAAACACTTCTCCTAAGCCTAGGATAAGGATCCAGGCTGCAGGACGTTTGGCCGGAAAAACCAAACACTTTACTCTAGGTTGGCAGGAACAACCAACTTAGAGGTTGGCTGGAATAACCAACACCTCTCCTAAGCCCAAGATAAGAATCCAGGCTGCAGGACGTTTGGCAGGAATAACCAAACACTTTACTCTAGGTTGGCAAGAATAACCAACTTAGAGGTTGGCTGGAAAAACCACCACTTCTCCTAAGCCTAGGATAAGGATCCAGACTGCAGGACGTTTGGTCGGAATAACCAAACACTTTACTCTAGGTTGGCAGGAAAAACCAACTTTGAGCTCTCTTCAGCCGAGATAAGAATCTAGGCTGCAGAGGTTGGCTGGAAAAACCAACACTTATTGTTCTTCAGCCGAGATAAGGATTTAGGTTGAAGAGGTTGGCAAGTATGGCCAGTTAGATTGTGGAAAAACCAACACTTATTGTTCTTCAGTCGAGATAAGGATCTAGGTTGAAGAGGTTGGCAGGTATGGCCAGTTAGATTGCAAAGTTAAGACTGGGATAAAATATCTCGGCCAGAGAATTTACTTCATTCAGATTATATCATAGAAGTAAACCGAACAGACAGCTGAAGAAAACAAAAGATAATTTCATTGATAATGCAAAGCCAAAGTACAAAAGATGGGGCCGTAGCCCGGTTACAAAAACTTCGAAAGTTAGCACCTCAAAGAAAAGAAAAGTACATAATCAAGCAAAAAGGTCATCTAAATCGACATCCAAAATAACCCGGTCTTCACCCAGAGGTAGCTCGGTTGTTGCAAGCACATCTTGGTTCAGCTCGGTTGGAGGCACCACATCAGACACGGCAGGCAAAGGAGGGATGGAGACCACTGGAGTTGGGGAGATAGACTGGCGACTGGGCTGGGTGTTGTCTTCTGGAACAGTATCTTCGTCCTCCTCTTCCAGAAAAGTTTGCTGAATGGCGACAGCGTACTCCGCCATAGAGCTCGGTATGAAATACGGAGGAGGGTTGAAGACCTCGGTCTCTGGGCTATGACCGAGCTGCGCCACAACCTCCGTTTATCCATACTTGAAGAAAAGATCTTTTGCAGCTTCACATTGCTTGATATAAGTGGCCTCCCCTTCCTTGAAACCGCGGTCTTCCGCGTCCTCAACCTTCTTCTCTAGCTTGGCTATCTCTGCATTCTTCTTGCCTTCAAGCTTGGCCAGCTCGCGCAGATATTTGTCTTTCACCACGGTCGCAGCCTTTTTCTTATCTGTTTCAGCTGAGTTGACCAGGCTTGTAAGCCAAGCTACTTCGGCCTGTAGCTCGGCCATCTTCTGCTGGGATTCTTTTAGCTCGGCCGTTTTAGCATTAGTCTCTGCCATGGCCTCCCTTGTGGTCTTTCGAAGTTTTAACCCGCGCTTGTGAGTAACGTGGTTCTTCTGCAGGGCCTGCAAAAGGAGAGAAACAATTTTGAGATAAACCGAGCGAAAAGATGTTGAAATTTGGAGAAGGAAAATGAGAACTTACCAACGCCATTGATTTGGAAGCCGAGCGAATGGCCTTCAGCTCGGTAAGATGATCGTGGTGATCCATGTCGGCTGGAAGGCAGACGCTCTTGGCCAGATTAAAGGCCAGCATATGGTCTTTTTCTGCGACCACTGAGTCGGAGTCAGTGATAGCGCGATTCTTGTAGGTAACCCTAGGCACCCACTTGGAAGAGCTAGCTCATTCAGAATGCTCCGGTTATGGGCTGGGCGGTGTGGATTGCGGAAGCGTGACGTCTTCTTCATCAAGGAGGCGCGGCTCGGTCGTGGAAGTCCGGGCGCACTTGTTTGGCTGAGATGAAGAAGGCTGTGCAGATGGTAAGGCTACCACGGTCTCTTGAGTTTGGCTGGCTGGTGGTACCTCGGCCTGGTTTGTTTCGGTTAAAAGGGCCCTTACTGCTCTTTTCTTGGCCATCTCTTGCTCCGCAGTTAATAGGATCAAGTTGATTTGTGGAAGGGAAGGATCAGGTTCTGGGGATGGCTCTAAGAGGAAATCGGTCACCCTGGTCTTCCTACGGCTACTATATCGGTAGGTCGGTTCAAAATTCAGTAGTTCGGCCCAGCTCCTGTTCGGATATCGGAGTGCGGCGCGAAGTGTGTTCAGGTTGGGGTAGCTGTACTAGGACTTGAGAAAAGTCAAATCTGCATGAAGGAAGGAAACTACAGTTAGTACGGTTCAAAATAAGAAAACCGAAGTAAAGAAAAGCATGGAATTGAGCCGAGGTAATCCTACCGGCTACATCCTTGTTCCAATTTATTCTATCGCCCGGGATCTAGGCTTGTTGGTCCTCAAAGTTTCCAGATACCCAGAAGAAATCATCATCATTCACATCTTTATCTGGGGTATTTTCTATTATCTTTTCACGACGGCGTCTTATTCTTAAATAGTAAACCCAGCCATCTTCAGCCGATCCTATGGAGTATTGGTGGAAGAGCTCGGCTAGACCGAGATTAAGGCCAGCTCGACAGTTTAGCTCGGTAATGCCGTTTATTATGCGGTAAGAATTGGTGGAAAGTTGGGTAGGGCAAAGGTTTGTTTGTCTGAGGAATTCACAGAGAATGGGGCTGTACAGGGAATCACAGTCCGGTTTCTACAATGGAAAGAAGGGTGAAGGGAACGAAGCTAGGGTTTCCCCAGGGCATGGTATCTAGGTCGGCCAAGGTAAGATGGACGTCATCAGGAATATGGTAGTCCCTTCGGAACTCGGCCATGGCACCTGGTGAGTTTTCTAAGAACCTATACTTTCCCATTAATTATATATAAATTATCGACAAGTGTTAGTTCGACGTTGAGATGATATGGAGTATCTCGGCTGAAGCGTTCAAGGGAGTGCCTGGTCGACCTAAATCTGCAAAGTGAAAAAGAAAGGTGTTAAGCACAGATCGTGAGACCGTGCTACAAGAAACATAGGCAAGATAAATGAAGTCCTAGCTCGGCTACGTGGGATGCTATCCAGTCTTAGCTCGGTTTAAGCAAGGGACTTTAGCCCGGTTTAGCAAAAGGTTGTGGACCCAGAAAAATAATTTAAAAAATTTGCACAGATGATAGTGGATGGAGTATTTAATTTTGTATAATGGAACCATTGTTAAAATACATTTCAACCATTGATTGTTTTTTTCGAATATCTATGTGACTATATATGAGAAGAGGATTCCTTCTAGTCCAAAATCTAGACTGGAGGGCATTCTTGGGTCCTTGGGGCTCTACACGGTCTCCGTTTCGATGATTTAAGCCGTTCATTTTGTCAAGAATTTCATGTATTTCATCCATAAAAAAAATTAGATCAATATGATATTAGTAACTTATTTAATTTATCGCGTTTGTCACAAAACAATGTATGGTTTATTTTTTTGTGATAAATGTGATAAATTGAGTATGTTATGATTATCAGATCAATCTAATTTTTTGTGTGAATAAAATATATAAAATATCTGATAAAATGAATGATTCGAATCATTGAAACAGGACCCGTGTTAGACCGCAGAGCCAAAACAGCGCCCTATAGTTCAAATTTTGGACTGAAGCAGATCTGCCTCCTATTATGAATTGGTAACATTGCTAAAACGAGTATTGTATAAATTTGGAGAATTTAAAATACATGGAGCCGTAGGAAAAAAAAGTACACTATAAATTAAATTATTATTATTTTCTACAAGTGCTTAAAAAAACATGAATTTTTTTTTTTAGTGTAACTTTGACACACATGAAAACTACGAAGCACATAGGACTATAAATGAATAGAGCCATTCGTCAACATGCTCGAGCTCAACTCGATAAGAGCTAATTCGAACTTGATTCATTAAATTTTATTTTATTTTTTATTTTTTTATGTTTGAGTTCGAGATTATTAAAATTTTAATAAATAAATCCAAATATACTAAAACTCAACTCTAAAGTTCAGCTTGTTAGCTGACTCGTTTAACATATATTATTTATAAATTAAATAATATAAAAATATGTATAAAAATAAGATAATTATGTTATTTATATATTTAAAAAATGTAAATGTGAATGTAAATAATAGTTAACTTAACTATAAATATTAAATAATACATATAATAGTGGTGATATATATTATTTTGATAAAATATTAACTTTTTTTTAGTATGTTTATATATATTGTGTATGTAATTTTATAATTAAAATTTCAATTATAAGTTTAGTTTCATACACAAATATGAATTTATAATTTTTTTAATTTGTTAATATTCGTGAACATATTTGAACTTGAGTCAATCCTAAACTAGCTCGGCTCAAGCTCAGTTCGTTAGTTTTTATTGAATTCAAATTTAAACTCGTTAAAATTTTAATAGACAAGTCCAAACATACACTAAAATTCAATTCGACTGACTTATTTGTAGTGCTAGACACAAGAATAAATTTGTAGTGCTAGACACAAGAATAAATTTATACATATACATAAAGAGAGTTACACCATAATAAAAATTTGATTTATTTTTTTTTCCCAGCTCAATTAAAATACAATTTCCCCTATAAATTTTGTGGTTTGCATGATCCTCCGTCGGCAAGAAAGTGCATAGAACAGCACTTTTATGCGAACCCCAAACCGGCAGACAAAAGCAAACTATTCCAACAACCACCGTTCCAACTCTATAAAACGCAACAAGTCAATTTACTTTCCCGGAATCTCGTTAATTCCTTCAACCATCTCTCAGTTCCTACCCTCCTCCTCCTTCTCCTCCTCCTCCTCCTCCTCCTGTGTTACCTCCTCCATGGACGACGGCGCTGAACACCAGGACGTCCCCTCTCTAGACCTCAGCCGCCTCAAAGTCCTATCCCCCATCGGCCGCGGAGCCAAGGGCGTTGTCTTCCTCGTCCAGACTACCGATACTCAATTCCTCGCTTTGAAAGCCATCTCCAGAGCTTCCATTGAGAAGGAAAGAACCAGCATCGACAGCGACGGTAGCCAGTACCGACGAATCTTCTTCGAACAACAGGTCTTGAGTTCTTTTTCACATCCACTTTTACCTAGACTTCGAGGTGTTATCGCCACCGATAAGATCCTCGGTTACGCAATCGATTACTGTCCAGGACGCGATCTCAATTCTCTCAGAAACAAACAAACTGAGAAGATGTTCTCTGATAGTATCATCAGGTCAATTTTCTTCTCAATTTCTCCCAATTTGTTTTGAAAAATATCTCATCAATGTATATATATATATATAACTCTCTGTATATTTCTTCAGATTTTATGCTGCGGAATTAGTACTGGCATTGGAGTACTTACATGGATTAGGAATAGTATACAGAGATTTGAAGCCAGAAAACGTACTGGTCCAAGAAAGCGGACATTTAATGCTCGTCGATTTCGATCTCTCAGTAAAACTCTCTGTAAAATCTCCCCAAACTCTGCCGATTGTGAAATCGGCACCGAAATCTCTACCGATGAACAAGAAGAGGCGATTTTTCTGTTGCAACTCCGGCATTTCGCCGGAGCGGGATTTGGCCGAAAACGATTCCGGATCGGCGAGTTCTTCCGAGTTAGACTCGGTTGAGAAGTCGAACTCGTTCGTCGGCACGGAGGAGTACGTGGCGCCTGAGATCATACTAGGGAAAGGCCACGATTTCGCGGTGGACTGGTGGTGTTTGGGTATAGTGTCATACGAGATGCTGTACGGAGCGACGCCGTTTCGGGGGTCGAATAGGAATGAGACTTTTAACTGGATTCTGAAGAAGTCGCCGGAGCTGGTGGGAGAGCCGACGCCGTTGAGAGATTTGATTGGAAAATTGCTGGAAAAGGATCCGAAGCAAAGGATCTCACTGGAGAGGATCAAGGGCCATGATTTCTTCCTAGGGGTTGATTGGGATCGGATCTTGGAAATCACGAGGCCACCGCACATACCGTTGAGGCCGGAACAGGAGGAAGATACACAAGGAAATAAGACAATCGATGTAGAGTCTTTTGTACAAGGAGTGTTCAAAATTGAGAATGTGGTGGAAACCAACATGGATTCTGAAAGCAAAAAGAATAACACGGGGGGACGGGTCGAAGGACTGAACCAGTCACCCTCTCCCACTGACAATTTCAGTGTCTTCTAACACCCACCCACCCCCTTTTTTTTTTTTTGGTCAGAAATCAATTACAGAAATAGGGATGTAACAATCGACAATGCTACGTAACTCAAATTTTGTGGTTCAAAAGTGGTTCAAATGGCCAAAACGACGTCGTTTTGAGTACAGAATAACATAAAAATGGCCAAAACGGCGTCGTTTTGGCCATTTGAGCCACTTTTGAGCCACAAAATTTGAGCTACGAGACATTTTCCATGTAACAATAACCTGGTTCGGTCTGATCCATTCAGACTCGGGCTCGAGCCGACCTTTTTTTTTTTTTTTTTTTGTCAAAAATCAATTATAGAAATAGGGATGTAACAATAGCCTGGTTCGGTCTGATCCATTCAGACTCGGGCTGGAGCCGACCCATTTCGGCCTTGTTGGCTCCTTTTTTTTTTTTAGCGGGCCGATCCGGCCTATGGACCAAAAAGTGGGGCCTATGCCTAAGTCTAAGCTCAACCCCACTCATAATAAGGCTTGGGTTGCAGGCTTGGTCTCGGGCCGCAGGCTGGGCCTAGGCGGGTTTTTTTTTTTTGAAAAATAAATGATAAATACATTATCTATGTAGATTATTTATTAGAAATATAAAAAAATTTATACTAGAGTATTTTAATTAAAATTAATGAGATGTTTTGTTTGGTTATGTTTCACGATAGTATTTAAATTTGACATATTTTTTTTTTTAATTATGAACTTATAACTAAAAAAATATGTAATTATGTAATTTTTTTCTTTCGAAATGAATAATTATATATATATGAAAATAAAACTTTCAATATTACAATATTAAATTAATTATATAATATTTATTGAATGAATAACTTTTATTTCAAAATGAAATAAAATATTACAAAAATTTATATTATTAAATAAAATAGGTGTAGATTATTGATAATGGTAGAGCAATTGCATCACTATAGGTCAAATACATCCTAACTAGGTTGGCACCTACTAGTTTACCAATCATTTGCATTATATTCCATCTCAATAATTAAAAAAAAAAGAAAAAAAGAAATGAAATAAAATAGCAAAAAACAAATTTTTGATCAATCATCGGAGGAGACAGGCATTTCAGTCGTGTTGCCCGAGGATATGTCATCCAAATCATTTTGAATTCACTCATTTTCACTATAATTTTGTTTTCTTGTAAGCACATGCATATAATCTCTGGATATCATTAGTGCCTCAACCATTTAGGGTGAAAGTCTGCTCCGGTAATCGTTCAGCACCCGTCCACTTGCACTAAAATCTGTTTCTGAAGCAACTATAGAAATAGAAACGGTAGTATATCACGGGCCATCCTTGAAATCACAAGCCACATAGTTTTATTTTGTCTCCACCATTCCAAAATGTCAAAATCATCGAAATCATCTATTGATGGGCTTTCCAAATAACGTTATAGTTCAGAACTACTTACGCTTATATGTTGAGATATTCTTCTACTTTTTATAGCTGAAAAAACACTTAATCTCCCGCATCGAGATGAGACTACTAGTGTAATGTGTGTAGGTGTATTTACAGATACAGCTGCTATGTATTATTCAAATAATTTGTTGCGTGTTTGCATAATAGGGGCAAACTGTGTTTGATCAACGAATATACGTTGTAAAAATTTTTGTAAACCAATTTCTTTACACCTAGGATCAATTATTATGGCTAAACCTAAAAGATGATGCAAATGATCAAAATATTTCTTAAATTTTACTTTCATTAAAGTAATAATTGTTATATAATATTCATTATCCATATATTTTATGAAAATTTTAATTATTTCTGCTAGCATATGTAAAATAAATGGTGAAGTAGGAATATATCTATAAGAAAATAATTTTGTTGAAATATCAAAAACTTTTAAAAAATCTTTATATAAGGTTACTTGGCGCCAATTAAATTCTGTGGGAGTCAATACTCCTTCTATTAATATTGTTGCAAAAAATAAATCTATTGCTTTTATTTTTTACAAGTTATTTTTAACATATTATACGTTGCATTCCACATACTATCTACATCTAAAATTAATTTTTTAAATGACATATTTTCTCGTTGACAAAGTTTTCTATATTCTAAAATTCGATTAGCAGAAGATATAATAGTAACAACTTCATTTTTATTACAAGTACAAAAGTCTTGTATAAATACATAGCTTCTTTAATAATCAAATTTAAAATATGGGCACAACAAATAACATGAAATAAATCACCATTAACAAGTAATTGTAAAGTTAATTTTAAATGAGTTACAGTTTGATTATAACATGCTGCATTATCTAAACTAATCGTAAATATTTTATTTTGTAAAGCCCACTCATATAATACATTTCTTATTTCTACACCAAGTGAATGACCATTGTATGGAAGTTCAACTAATTTAAATGAAATAATTTTTTTATTTAATTTCCAATCATTATCAATAAAATGTGCAGTGATACATCAATATTCAAAACCATTATTTGACCACAGATCAGATGTTAAACAAACTCTTTCATTCAAATATTTAAATATGTCAAATAATTTACTTTTAGCATCCTCAAATTTCTTTAAAATCCTATTTCTAATAGTATTTCTTAAAAAACTTTCATATTGCGGTGCAAAACTTTCATGAATCATTTCGGTAAAATCGAGACATCACTAGGAGTAAAAGGTTGTTCTTTTTTAATAATATAATCAACTACAGAATTTTGTGCATGTATAGGATCATATAAAAATGTTTGCAAATTACCAGTTGATGAAACCCCTAATTGTATTTAACTTCGAATATCAGGTTGTTGACGTTGTAAATGTTTGTTAGCATGCATTTTTAGATGACTAGTACCTCCTGCAGATGCAACACTAAGTAAATGTGCACAATATTTACATTTTGCTTTAAATGTAATTGTACCATTAGGATTATTTATAGATATTTTTTCAAAATGTTCCTAAACACTACTAGTTCTGCTCCTAGATGATGATCTAACTATTGGAAGAGGGACATTAGAAAAAGAATCAACAGATTCTTGTTATGTAGTATATGCATCAACATCGACATAAATATTAGGAATATTACGAGCCATTATAGCGATCCCGGTTTTGACCCAACCTTTGTTACATTTCGGACTCGGGTTTTGTGGTTTAATATTGTATCCATGTCTTATATTCCTCCTCTAACTCTTTGAATTTGAGTTTTGGAACATGTTGGGCATGTTAGGAACAGGTTGGTTATTAGTTGGTCAGGATTGTTGTTACCCAGATTTTGGCTTCTTCGCTCGAGCGAGGCTTTTTACGCTCGAGTGAGCCTTGTGAAATTTGCTTCTTCGCTCGAGCGAGGTTTCTTGTGCTTGAGCGAGATTTGAGAGTTCTCAGGTTTCTTTGCTAGACATAGAATTTCTGAGAAGGTGAAATTCTTCGCTCGAGCGAGAGTGTGCGTCTGTAAAACTTCTGAAGCTTTGCATTCTATGCTCGAGCGAGGCTTCTTGCGCTCGAGCGAGGTCACTTGTTGTGTCTGGTCGCTCGAGCGACAACTTCTTCGCTCGAGCGAAGGCCGCGTATATCAGTTCGCAGCAGAAGAGTTTTATATCACTTTTTGATTCCCTTTTTGCAAGAAACCCTAATCCGGCACACTCTCTCTCTAAAACACTCTCTCTCTACAAATACTCTTTGATCCAAGCACCACTACCCTACTTCCTTTGAGAAAAAGGTGGAGTATCTTGTGGGCTTCCATTCCATCGAAACTAAGCTTGGTTTTGTGCACTTTTGAAGATCTCCTTCTTCTTCTTTAGGCTTCTACACTTGAGGTAGAGATACTCTACACCTTGTTATGGTTTTTAACTTAGGTATTTGTCATTTTGTATAAGTGGTGGAATTTGGAAGGATTTGAGTGAAGTTAAGGTTTAGGTTCAAAGTTTAAAATAAGGATTTTTATATTGGGTTCCATGAATATATATGGGGTATTTAATATGAGGTTACATGGGTTAAAACGATGAAATTTGGACTTGGGATTGATATTTGGAAAATAGGGAAAATAGCCCTAATTTGTGTTAAATAATTATTTTGTACAAATAATGAAATTGATATGAGAAATATGAAATCAGGAGGATGTGTAAATTAATGGTGTAGTTGGGTTTCATTCACCTATGAAAAATTTGATAAATTATTTGTTTGATAAATTGTATATCTGTTTAGAAATATCTGTTTTGGGCTATTGGTGGATGATAGCTATGACTGTTGTAGAGATTGTATGAGGACTAGGTGAATTGAAACTGATCATTTGAATTATGTCATTGAATATGATGGTTTGATTAAACCATTGAATATGTGATTTGGATAGTCATTGTATATGACCACGCTTTTAAATATATTGTATATGTATTATTGTTTGGGAGGACATAGAGGATGCACTCCATTATTTTAGAGGAGAAAAGGGATGCACTCCATTTAAAATTAAGTTGGCCGGAGTGTCCAGGGTGAAAGACCCAAAATCTTATATGTATATATGTATGGGTGCAGATTCCCTCGGACGAGAATTCATAAAATGGCAAGAAGATTGAAGTGTTTGAATAATGATTGTTATTGAATTATGAATGAATGAGTAGTCTCATGTTGGATTGTTTAGATGATAGGGAACTACACTTATGCATTGATTTGAAATTAATAAATGGAAATGAATTAAGATGTGGTTATCGATATTGAATGGTAAAGGGGAGAATGTAAGTTGGTCTTGAGTATTGGACTTTTATCTGGCATTTATATCTTAGTTAAATCTCATACTTTGTGTTAGTTTATCTCTATTGGGCTTTGGCTCACCCTACTTGGGAAACCATTTTCAGGTACAGGTGACATGTCTCCTCCAAGGACGTAGCCCGGGAGGACTTAGGAGTTGGAAGCTCTGTTTTTGTTATATTTATGCTTAAATGTTTATTTAAGCCGAGGGTTTTACATGTATAGAACTTAGGACTCTTTCTTTTGTTGTAACCAAGTGATATCTTGGAAAAATGTAAGCCCGAAGGGCATTTATTTTGTTGTTATCAACTAGTGTTACATGCTGTATTTTCAGAATGAACATTTATGAT